TAGATGGAGAAGGCGCCCATAAACAAGATAATGTACCGGCCGTTGAAAAAGGTGAGCCATATCTCGTTGTTGGACTTCATGGCCGCCAACTGGCGTTCCCTTAACACCATCCACAGGGCGAACAACAACATGAGTACCCCGTGTCCGGCGTCGCCAAACATGAGCGCAAACAGGAAGGGAAAGGTGACTATAGTGTAGGGCGCGGGGTTCACCTCGCGATAGTTGGCCACACCGTAGGCGTCGACAATGTTCTGAAAACCGAGTGTGACTTTGTTGGTCCGGTTGAAGGTCGGCGGCGTCTCCTTACTGTCCATACCGTTCAGTATGGAGGGGACAGTCGATCCGCTACGTGTTGTGCCGATACGTAGGGCGTGCCTCACGGTGTCCAACTGGTCCGTAGGGCACCAGCACTCAGCGATCAGACACTTCTGGGTGACGTCAAAGTTAAACATATTCATCGCGGTATAGATGGCCTTCATTTTGCGGACTTTGATGAACCAGTTCTTGAGGTTCTTGGCCGAGGCTAATAGGATCCGGTGCTTGTGCTCCGTGGTCTGGCCTAAGACGGTGTTCAAGTCGTCGATCCGCGACACGACGTTCCCCATCATCTCCCGGCGATCGGACGCGTCCTCCGGACAGGGGTATAGCGTGGCTCTGAAACCCTCGCAGATCTTCTTCACTTTGCTCTTGAGTTGGTCGCCCTGGAAGAAGATGATAAACACCGACTTGAGCACCGGGTCCCCAGTCACCGGGTCCTCCAGTGGCGCGTCGATCTCCCGGTGCCTCAAGAAGACGTTCCCTCTGCACACCCGCCACAGCATTCGCTCAAACGTCATGAGTCGGTCCCGTTTTATGACGCCCGCCACGAACGCCAGTTTCCCCGACGATATACCCCCACCCCGGCCCTCGTCGGGCAGTATAGCTGTGGTGTCAGCATCGGAGGCGCCCACCAATGAGTCCTTCCGGTGCCGGCCCTCCACTTCGTCGAAGAAGTACTCGGTTTTGGCGAGTATTTGCTTCAACTCCAGGAGCTCTGCGAAGGTTTTTTTGAGCGCTTCGGCGTTTTTGTTGACATCCTTGAGCTCGGTCTCCAGCTTCTCGAACGTGGACTCCAACTCAATCATCTCCCGGGGCTGCGGCGGCTCCGGGTTGTCCCCCGTGTCGAGCACCGGTAGGCACACTTTGGCGATCTCCTTGTCCAGGAACCGGAGCTTACGCTCCATCTCATCGCACCGGCGGATCTCGTTGACGAACCGGCGCTGAAAGGCGTTGATGTCTTTGTTGAGGTCCTTGAACTCGACTAAACCCAGGGATCCTAACTCCGAGACACAGTTATAGGTGGCCTCCGATTGTAGGAATAGCTGGCATAGGGTCATGGGTTCCG